TTGTGATTGGAGAAATGACAAACAACAAGCCCTACTCTACACTGCCCAAAACTCGTGTTTGAATCATTAGTGGCAAATCCTTTAAATATGAAAACGTACTTACAGACTGTGAGTCAGAACAGCTGCCATTGCAGTCTACTCTTCCAGGTTCAGGAAACAGGCCTTCATAAAATGCGCTGCACACATCTGAATATTTGGGTTGAACTGTTCTGGAACAGTGTTGTAAATACAACTTAACCACTGCTGTCTAATTGGGTCCTCTTTTGGAAGACCAAACAAAGTAGTTTTGCTTTCACAATGAAACACACAGCGTCACACACGGCGGGCTAAAGTGAGCGGAGGCCGGCAGGCTTGAGTGAGGAATGGCCGACGGGCTTGCGGCAACCACATGTGATGACCCCGGGCTGGACTCCGGTGATCCACAGCGTGAAGTTGATGTATTTCCGCAGCGACCAGCATGGATCAGCTCTAGGTATGACGAAGCGGATATCGTCCTCTTTTGGAAGGCCAAACAAAGTAGTTTTGCTTTCACAACGAAACACACAGCGTCTCCACGACATGGCGGCGGCGGCAACAGCAATATAACAGCGATAATAAAAGTTACGCCTTCTTTCTTTGCGTGAACATTTGGTCGGTGTTACGCAAATCTTCCCACACAGTGACGTAGACATGTGGGGGCGTGTTTAAACAAGGCGATTTATGAGGGCGTGGACAAGTCTTAACTTTTATAAAGAATATCTCTTTGGATTTGAGACTTTAGTCTTTGCAACTTTAGGGATCTTATCTATGCACAAACATCTTGTAACACTCCAAAGAGAAAGGAACATTTTTAATTGCATCATATGACCCCTTTAATCCAGTTACTTAAGGTACATCAGTTGGGGGGGGGGTCAAAATGTATTATTGTTGATATGGCATTAGATTAAAATCATGCTAAGAAATTATGACTCTGTAAAAATTATTTATTGATTTAACTTAAATTAAGTAGCCTAACCTGGCTGCCTTAAAATTAGCTCATTTAAACTCAACATCTGAGTTGATACAAAGAAATATATTAGATTATTCGACAGAGAAACAAAATGTTATCTGAATAACATTTGTTAATCTAAGCTGATTTGACAAAAAAAAATTACTAAAAGTTATGATAACAAATCATGGTTTTCTTTTACAGTGCAGTGACAGACAGCAGTCACTCAATGCACTCATTAAAACTGCTCATCAGAGTGAATTACAGAGACATCAAAAACATCATGTGGAGCTGATTGTGACATGTATAACCTTAGAGTAAAGGGATGTGTGGTTTTTGATGTAATTTTGAATTATAGAAGTGGGAAATTGATAGATGCATGCTTCTTTATTTATTTATCTGTATTTATCTGCTTTATTTATTTATCTGCTATTTTATTTGTTTATTTAATAGAAAACTGAAAAGGAGTGATTTAATATAGGGCAGATTAAACACTGCTAATCTAGACAAGTACAGTCATATAACGTTTGTCTATATTCTTGTCACCAGTTCACCAGCTCCTTTCACCATGCCTGTCACAAGACCAGTCATCTCAGCACATAACATTTCCCATCATCCCCTCTGGCTACCACCTGTGCACACTCCACAATCACCACACCTGTCTCCCATCAGCCCCATCAGTTCCTCTAAGCCAGCACCAAACACACGTGGTTGTCTGGTCTCGTCATTCCGTACGGAGCTACTTACCTGTGGATTACTTATCAGTGCATCGAACTGTCCCAATCACCATCACCATCGGCCTACCTACAGCCCTTCAGCAACTCCTCTCCAGAGCCTGCACCACAAATAAGACTATCATTCTCATGCCAATATCATCACAGTCACGATCTGCTAACCAGAAACTCACCTGCTCTCTGCCAGTGTTGTTCAGATAAAACTGTTCTGACGATTACCTGTGTTTGCATTCTTCTGTTCCGTGAAAAATAAAACATGAACTGGTCTAGTGTTGTCACGGTACTAAAATTTCAGTATTCGGTACCAATACCAGTGAAAATCCACGGTTCTCGGTACCAATTTCGGTACCAAAGCAAATGAACAAAATTCATTCTAATGCTCATTATATTAGCGTTAGCCGTGCTTATGCTAACGATTAACTACGTATAGGCTACGCTAACGGCGATGTTTATTTCAATCCGAAATTCAAATTAAAATATGGAATAATATTCCCAACAGAACAGAAGCTCTAAATATTAAAAATGTAATTGAAACTTACCTGCTTGAACTTGATCGGGGTGTTTTGTTAGTTTGATGTGTTTCCTCCTCTTGAGGTCGCCACTGCTTTTAAGAAGAGGTTGCCAGGTTTTCACAACAAAACCCGCCCAATCGCGTTTCGAGGGGGTCCCCGTTAAAAATCGCATTCCGGGGATAAAATACGCATGTTTTGGCGGGGTTCCCCTGGTAAAATTCGCATTCCAGGTGCTAAATATCACATTAATGGGGTCGGTTTTCAACCCGCGGACATGAAAAACAACCCACGGCAACAGTGTTAAGGCACCCCAATTCTGCGAACAAAACCCGCCCAATCGCGTTTCGAGGGGGTCCCCGTTAAAAATCGCATTCCGGGGATAAAATACGCATGTTTTGGCGGGGTTCCCCTGGTAAAATTCGCATTCCAGGTGCTAAATATCACATTAATGGGGTCGGTTTTCAACCCGCGGACATGAAAAACAACCCACGGCAACAGTGTTAAGCAGCCCAATTCTTGGCAACACTGGAAGAGGATAACTTTCTGATAGCGCATCAAGAACCGGGTTGACCGGGTACTCGGTACCTCCGGTACTTAAGAAAACCTGGCACCGTAACGTTTTCATTTTTTTAGTACCGACTTGGTACCGAAATACCGGGTCTTTTGACAACACTAAACTGGTCTGAAGATTTTATCCTCTCTCTCCAGCAAGACAGTCAACCCCCTCTCCGGCAAGATGGTCGATCTCTGGAGCGATATGTAGAGGAGTATTTGGAGTTCTCCCATCTGGTGAATTGTAGCGATAAAACACTCTATGATTGCTTTCAGATGGGATTGGATGAGGATGTTATTAGTTT